GCAGAATAATCGTTTCATTATTAAAATATCACTCAATAGTTTAAGACACATAAGTGTTCGGAATCACACTAACAAGTGAAGTTGACACTCAGAGTAGAACTGTAGGTGAACTGTGGGGGAAAAAAAATCCAACGTCAGGAAATGCATGTCACCTAAATGTCACCTCAAACTTCTCGCATAGAAAAACGTTTTTTGCTTAGACTAGAGCTCATATATAGCCTCCAGAGCTTCTAGAAAAAGCTCCTGAAACTGTAGATAACACTCTCTACACAGGTATATTTTCCAGATATTTCACAGATTCACCTGAGTTCCCCAAATTTCCACAATCCCCACCCCTACTCTAAACAAATGCACACACATGCATGCCCACACAGGCAAATTAAAACTAATGCCAAGACCTCTGACTTCAAGGGACTTCTTAACTGATAACTTAGACATTTATTTACTGAAACAAGCCTGAGAGATGCAGACATGCTGCTTAGACAGGAGGGAAGTGGAAGGTATTCTGATGACAATGTGGGATCTGAGAGGGAGTCCAGTGTGTGTACAGTGTTGGTGCCAGGCTTGTACTAGAATTCTTTCCTCTGGCTTCATAGTTACATAATTTTAGTTTTACTAGAGAAATCTTTTTCTATGAACTGTCCTTTCTCCTTATTTAAAGGTGCATTGTCTTTCAGGCAAAACCCATCTGTGTCCATGCAGGGATACGAGGTGTCAAAGGGGCTGTGAGTATAAGACCCGACTTGGCTGTAAACTTGCTATGCGACACTGAGCAAATTGAAGACATGAAAATCAGAGTTGGAGCAACCTTTGACATCATTTATTGTACTTGCTTCCTGCCATCTCACAGAAAAAAGAAAAATATGAAGATCAGAGAAAAGTCATGAACTCACTGAAGTCATAGCAAATTAATTAGAGCCAACATTTCCACCTCAGAATGAATAAAATAATCTCTACTCTGAATCTCTGCACTACGGCTTATGGTTAAGTGTTTGGAGCCAATGGTGTCTAAGTCGTCTTCTATCTGATGGATAATCACTACTGCCTTCTCTAGACCTGGACAGCCTACGAAAACATGAGTATGGTTTTGGCAAAGATTATACCAGCTGCTTCTCAGCCCCAGCCCAATCCCAAAGGAGCAAAAGAAGTGTCTGAAAGAGTGAGAGACAATTCTATTACACTTGTGTCACCCCAGCAATTGGGAATTGCATGCCCTGGAAGTAGATTGCACTGTCTTGGCTATTATTCTGCTGTGCTCTTTCTTACTAATCCCACATCTCTTCATAGTGTTCCAAACTGTGCAACAGCCAGCCAGCAAGGATCTCATCTCCAGCTTCCTATACATCTCTGGATCTGAAAAGAGCAGGAGGCGGGCAGAGGAAAGAATGCTGATGTCAGGGTCAAACAGATTTTGAGAGGAAGGCGGCAAGGGGATCCAGAATCTCTAAATAAACACAGAACCCAAGAGCCAGCAGGAACCGTCTGTGCTCCACGGAATTAACAAAGATACCTGGAGTGTGTTTACGTTTTAAAGACATATCTCTGCACTGACACAGATGGGTTTTGCCTGAAAGACAATGCAACTTTAAATAATGAGAAAGGACTGTTTATAGAAAAAGATTTCTCTAGTAAAACAAAGATGTAACTATGAAGCCAGATGAAAGAATTCTAGTACAAGACTGGTACCAACATTATACACAAATTGGACTCCCTCTCAGATCCTAAAATCTGCATTTTTTTTTAAGAGGTTTTTGCTATAGGGCACATGCACTTGCTGGAAAGACAGAGACAGAGAGACAGAAAGCAAGAAATCACCCCCCCCTCCCCGGGGGGATGGCCACACCATAATCCCTTCTCCTCCATTCTCCTCTTGGGATCTTGGGCACGCACACACACATGCCTGGCATGAGTTTAAGCCACCAGGTCCAGGACTCAAACCACAGTCGACTACATGGGAGTCCAGCGACATAGCCATTATGCTAACTGTTGGTCCCCCAAAATCTGCATTTCTGAAATGAAAATATTTGGTTACATTGCCTCTCAAAGTACTCTCTGGTTTCGTCTCTGGACATTTAACCCGTCCTTCCAAACCCAATTATTCTCCCTGTAAAGTCAGACAACAGAAGAGGAACCATTCTGTCCTTAACAGTGTCGATAGAGGGTAAGTTTACCAGATGCTCTAAAAGTCAGTCCCAGATCATGGAACAATGCCATAGGAGAGAGGAATTTTTTTTCATTTCTAGTCAAAAATTGTATGTTTTGGGGGCTAAGACATCACCAATGCTCAATCATAATGTACATCTAATTCAAATAACTTAATGTTCTCTTATGTAAGATAAAAGCTAAATGCAAAAGCAATTTTCAATTGGAGAAGGGACTGCCTAGTAAATAAAACCATAGATAATAAAACATTTAACTAGATTTAAACCATGATCATATGGAACAACTTTGTTAGTTGCTGAAATGAACCTCGGAAAAAGAAAATGACTTGCCCAAGGTGACACGGCCAGTTGCCATCAAATCTGGAATTAGAATTAGATTCTCCTGGCTTTTAGCTCACATGAAGCAAATGATTTCCTTTATAACTGCTCTTTCTACCTCTACTTTGAACACAATAACTAAATTATTTTCTTTAAGGCAGATGAGGGCCGTTTCCACCAAATTAGAGTCAACTTTCACCCTGGCAGTGTAGATAGGTCCACGAGAATTAATTAGGTATTATCCATCCTTGCTAATGAATCACCCTGTGGAAAACAGAGATAACCAACGGTCTACAGGAGGACAGAAGTCTGTTCTTGTTCAAGTACAGATCTTGCCTATTAAAGAACACTGGGTATCAGCTCTAAATAGTAAATAGGGTATACCATTTCAGATTCCATGAAGTACAGCTTTAAATAGATTTGGCTTGGAAATGGGACAGAGAGCACACTGCAGTTAGTGGATCAACACTGAATGCAGAGAAAAACAATCATTATACTCATTAAGTGTGTACCTGTGTACATGCCTGCTGTCAAATATAATTATTTATTTAAATTGTTATTCTTTCTTCATTACTGCCACTGATACCAATTATTACCACAAGATCATTTTGAAATTCTACAGCACATCCCAAGAATATTCACTCCTCCACTTTCTAAAGGCTATGCAAGAACATTCTATTCCACCCTCCCCCAGCATCTACCTCAAGAGACCAGAGAACAGACAAAATTCCCCTTTCTCAACAGCAATACTGTTTGTCCTCTTTTTTTAATTTTTTTTTATCTTCATTCACTGTGTATGAGTACAGCATACAAAATGAATTTAACCTTTCAGACCTATTCCAAACTCCTCTTTAAGTTGTAAGATGGGTTTTAAAAAGCAAGGAGGCCCAGTCAACCACTTCTCAAAGCTTATCCTATTAATATTTAACGATTGGCATCGTGGCAAAGATTATATGATGCCTGAAGTTTCAATGTTGAAAAGTTAGAGGTCTTCTTCACGAAGCTGTCCAAAACAATAATGGGATACAACCATCGGACATTCTTTCTCATACATTTGCCCATGAAGAAAAATTTACATTATGACATCATAAAATATATTAGGGGTTTTTGTAAGGGAAAATTATGAATCAGAGAGGGACTAAAAGATATGCAGAAACCATTCCTGTATTTTTTTGCTACTATCTTTTTCCTAATTTTCTTTTCATTTCTCTTTTGTAGAAATGAGAAGAAAATCTAAATCATTTCAGTGGCTGCTAGGTCTAATTTAATTATAGGAATTTCACTCTCTATATATCACCCACTGGTTTGCAAGGCGGTGTGTTCTTATTTCATGTATGTGATAACTATTAGCTTTGAAAACTATAGTCACCTAACACCATAATTTCCACTCAATTCTAAATTGCTAAATTCTATGACTAAGGGGAAATATCAATCTACTTTAATTTTTTTCAAAGGTCTGCGAGACTACAATCACACTTGTAGTTCAAGACCATGGAAACAATACACTACAGGAATTAACAAAATATTCAGCACAAAAAAGGTTTACAGGAGTTTAAATAATGATATAAAATCATCCCCAAAGTGACTATTCTTCAGGGCTTGACCTGCATTTCCTACGTCACCTTGTGTGGCCCAGACTTGTAAAAGAGTGCAGAGAACACAGTGGAGCTTGTTCATTGGTACAGATAGTAGGAGGAAAATAACATTCTGCCAATTTTACGACTATGATTCTTCCTTTTTTGTAAAAAGAAAACAAAAATTTAATTGACTTTTATTTTTTTGGAAAACTCAAGATGAATGTATTCTGCCAAAGATCTATCTCCTTCATACTAGTTTCCCCAGTAGACTCATGGGTTTTGGTTTTCAAAAGACACTTTTATTATTTTGGAAAACTCAAGATGAATGTATTCTTCTGCCAAAGATCTATCTCCTTCATACTAGTTTCCCCAGTAGACTCATGGGTTTTGGTTTTCAAAAGACCTTGATTCGTTTTCTGTGTTTTTAGAAATTTTTTTTTATTGCTGTTGTTGCAACCTTGGATTATATCTTTTGGAGATGATTAACAGAGCAGTTAGGAAACAATGATAAGTTCTACTATTAATGGTCGGCCTCTTCAGAGCCAGGTAACATTGGCAACATAATATGGTGGAAAATTCACTCAATCAAGGGTGAAGAAACTAGGTTGAAAGCATTCCTGTCACATATTAGCTGATGTACAATAAAACAAAGGGTAAGAACATCCTAGTATCTATCACGCAAGAGACTCTTTTCAGCCCTTTAAGCCAAAGCTTCCTTGTTGCCCAGATTTTTGTGCTTTGGGCATTAAACCTTAAGGGCTAAGAAGTGAAAAAATTAAAAAGACATAAAAGGAGGCCAGCTTCCTCATTTGGCCATTTGTCAGATTTTGTTGCTCACAAAGTACCTTACTTTTCTTCTATTGGAAGGAAAACCAAACTTAAATATCATTGGCTCGGATTCCCACTAGTATTTTGGCACATAAAGACACTGATCCTCTCTTACCTCAAATCACCGGCTCTCAGAAGTCAGTTGGCAAATGGCTCAGTCAACCACACAGCAAAATCTACAAATGAAATAGGTATAGGTTACTCTTGGAAAAAGTTACTAAAAGCCTGCATGAATGCATTACAAATCATAACCTCATCTATCTATATCACATCTTCTGTTTTGCAAAACATTTCCTAATTCATTTTCTCATCACTCCACAATAACCTAAGGAAGAAGCAGGAGGGGATTATCTTACTCCTCAGATGAGGAAATAGCTCACCAAGGACCAGGAAGGATGAGTAGGGGACTCTCACTACAGCGCTCATGATTAGATTCACAAATGTGATGGGAAATAGGTATCACTGTCCTAATTTCATAGATGTGGAAACCGACACTCAGAGATGCAGAGAACTTGTCCACAACTTGCCATCCAGCCCAGAATGTGGCAGAGCATGAATTTGGAGCCAAGGGTCCTGCTGGCTGGCCCAGTGATCTTTCCTTCATAACTTACTTCCACCGAGGTTATTAAACCAGGAAAACCCAAAGTCTAGCAACAATTCATTAAATTGATCTAGAAGCCTTGGTGAAAGGGGTATAATAAAGTAAAACCAGCTACTTGATTGACACAAGGAAGTGAGAAAAACCCATGGGATTTAGAGCTGGTTGGACTGGGCTTCTTCTTACCAATAGCCTTAAGCATATTACTTAAACTTATTGAGTATCAATTTCCTCAAATGTAAATGAGGATTATATTATCTACTTCATAGGCAAAGCTGTCCTAAATTAAACTTTGACTTTCCTCCATTATTCTGTAGACATGGTCAGGGTTGATAACATCTCTTCCTGTAAGTCCATTTTTACTTGATCAAACAAAGATGCTATGGGCAGACAACACCAGAGAATACCTCTGGATTGCGTATTTTTTTGATTCATGCTCCCTGGTTTTAAAACACTGCAATATTTACCTATGTCAATCTCATATAACTTCCCCTACAAATAACAGAAAAACTTTTGTTCAAAAAGAAGGCATCAAATTTAAAAATCAAATGTTCCCTCAATTCTAAAAAAGCAAAAGAAACACTACTTTAATTAAAAGGTCTGTTGATGAATCACACACACTTCATTTTAAAGTTTGTGCTTATAATCATGCTTTATGCTCAAAAAGATGGAGCTTCCAAACAAACTGCAAAAACAAAAGGAATTTTAAAAAATATAATTGACAGATTAACTGAGAAGTATAAGACCCGTGGAAAGTTTTGTAAAAATATTTTATTTCCATAAGCAAGTCAAATCAGATTAAGAAAGAATATGGTTGGTAAGACGTCTTCCAAGAAACTTCATTCACCACTGAAATCAAAACATAAATCACTTTTAACATTATATTTATTTTACTGCTTGGAAAATATTACAAGTCTATCATATCTCAAGTCATCTTCATTATACCTTTAATAAGACCTTATTTTACAAATATAGAAAGTAAACCTCAAAGGTCACCATGTTTTAATGGTACACAGAATAATATAACCTTGACTATTTTTCTTTTTTAAAAACTTCCAATTGGATGTGTATGGTGGTGTCAACTGAGCTGGACTGAGGTGTATATCATGCTAGGTAAAGTCTCTTCACAATCTAAATGATGTATAGCACTTTAATGTATGAATAATTAGAATAGGACATGTGCACTCTCCATAGTCAGAGAGAGAGAGAGAGAGAGCGAGAGCGAGAGAAAGCAGCTGTCAAGGTGGATAGCCAGGCTGCAGTTCCTTCTTCTTCACTCTTCTCGGGATTGTGGGCACACATGCACATACACACAGTGTGCTTTTTGTTTTTTTGCACCCCGTATGTTTTTCAAGCTACCAGGTTTGGGACTAAAACACATAGTCATCTATATGGGATCCAGTTGTCTTAACCACCAGCTGGCTTGTAACCTTGTCTCTTCATACCAACACTGGTAAGTTCCTTTGAACTCTATCATATAGCCTTCAAACTGGGAGCATCCTATTTAGAGAAAGTAACTTAACAACTTCAGGAAAGTAAAAGGAGTCACAGCATACAAAATTCAATTGTTGCAGCACTAAAACACATTTGGTTTTGAATTCTGCTTCACTAGCAAGTGAAAGGAGAGAAAGACTTCACATCTGTGGTCTAACCAGAAGTTAACACATAACTAAGCTGAGGCAGAAGCAGTGCTCAATGCAAGGTTACCAGTAACACTTTCTCAGATCTTCCTAACGACGCTGCAGAGATGCCACATCCTCAGGCTAAGTGTTGAAACACAAGCCACAGAAACAAGAATCTGCACCAGTTAGTTTTCCTAAACAGTTTCTCCTCAATACGTCTCATCTTAAGCAGTAGAAAAGCTAAAGGCTTCTAGATCATTTCACTGGCCCTTTGCCTGGGGTTTGCATGTCAAGTCCTTAGTATTTCCTGTGTACTTTAAAATGCAGTGGAATTCTCCATTAACCCTAAAGACAGCTGGGCCAATGGACCAGTCCTACTCCACACTCAGAGGAATGAAGCCAATTACCATGGTCTGCCTCTGTGGATCTTTGCTCTGCTGACTCAGTACCTGGCATATCTGCATCCTTCCTCAAACCATCCCTCCTCTCCCAAAAAAAATGTTCTCACCCCCAAAGGCAATATCAGCCCAAAACAAAGAAATGTGTACAACCAACCTCAAAATTACAAAACTTCAACCTATTAATTAGAATCTATACAAAGCAAAACACACCAAACCTGGTTGAGATGCCTATAAAATTACTAATAACCTCTACTGTGTTTAGGGGAAAAAGACAAAATGAATAAAGTCAACTGGAAGAGGGGAGGCAAGAAAAAGAACAAGTAGTGAGGAATGAAGAAGACACCAATTTCGATGGGTTTTTAAAAAACTGTAGTATCCTTCAAATCCACCAACACTTCTCTAGGTAAATTTTAAACAATACGCATTACAAACAAAAATTCTGAATAAAGCAGTATTAGATTAACATAAAGATAACTTCAAGGGCCAGTAAATGGCATGGCTAAGGTGGATGGATCCTACATGGCTGACTGCATGATTCAAATCCTAGACCTGGCAGCTTGAGAAACACACCAGGCACATGGGCATGTGTGCCCAAAATCCTGAAAGAAGAAATGGAGAAGGGATTTCAGTGTGAACATCCCCCATGGGGAGTACTTCCTCATGCTCCACCTCCACCCCTGCCACTCTCTGGTGAGTGCATGTGCCCTCCAGCAAATAATTGATCATTGTGTAAGTGGTAAGTACAAACAGCAGTATGTCAGAACCACGTGCAAACCTCCACAAAGTGAATTAGTTGTAACTCTTTAGCCCAGCTGTTCTTTCTGAACAATGTACAGAGCAATGGAATGGAGATTGAGGACCTGGGTGCTGGTCTGAGCATGACATGAGCAGTGTGAAATACAGATTTTTGTGTTTCTCTTCTCACAGGTCTTAACCATGGTTATCTCTAAACCACTGTGAAAAAGCCAGGAATTACTTTGTCTAGAATTTTGTGCATTTTGGTAAGTGTCACGTGTTGGTAGAGGTAGTACTTCGAAGAGTACTTGTACTAAGACTTATTTAAACAGTGTTGTCATTTTAAATATGGAAGTTTGGCCCCAGAAACAACTGAGATATTACACTAGGCCAAAGGCATGAAATGACAAACATGGCACATCTACTGCAATCATCAAATCCCATATGAAGATTTTTTTTTTTTTAATTGTGCTATAGAATGTGTGTGCTCGAGAGAGAGACATCCCAGGGGGAACAGCCATACTGCAATCTCTTCTCCTCCATTCTGGGCAAACACATGTGACTGGCATGTTTTTCAAGCAGCTGGGTCCAGGACTCACTGCAGTTGGCCGTGTGGGATCCAGCAGCCTTAAGCACCCCACCACCAACTAGCCCTGAAGAATATTTTTTTATGCACTCTCTTACGCACTACCCTAAAATACTTATCAAGAACACAACATATTCCACAGCTTGTGAATGATTTGGTTGTCTCATTAAAGTAATGTTTGCCAGTATTTAATTGCTTCCCTCCCTGATTTTAATTTCCTCACCTGTCAGCATCTATCAGAGACACTGAAATCTTCTGACATCCTGGCTGATTGTGTTGAAATTAATCAGATTTTTAAAAGTAAATTGCTTTGGCCTAAAGGTAACACTCTACTTCTTAATGTGATATTTATAAGGGTTCTATCAATGGAACTTATAATCTAGATATCAAATGAGACTTCAGAAATCCTGAGTGGCAATATAAGCAGGTTACAAATCTCCAGGACTGAACTTTAAATGATAAAAACTTTGAAAAATATATTCAATCAACAAGTATTCGTTGAGCTTAGAGTACTTTCTGGCAGGCACTTTGGGGTAAACAGAGAGGAGGAAGACATGATTTACTTCAGAAAGTTTGGAGAAACACACAAGTATTGGGATCAGCAGTTAACATAATGGCTATGTCACTGAACTCCCATGTAGTCGTCTGCAGTTCAAGTCTCGGATCTGCTGGCTTAAACTCACACCGGCACATGTGCGTGTGCCCAGGATTCCGAGAGGAGAATGGAGGAGAAGGGATTGCGGCGTGGCCATTCCCCCTGGGGGGTGAGTTTTCGCCTTCTATCTCTCTGTCTCTCTGTCTGTCTGACGGGCGCACGCATCCTATAGCAAAAACCTCTCAAAATGAAAAAAAAAAAAAAGAAACATACAAGTATTACTTACGTAAACCAAACTCACTTTGATTAAAATAGATCATTCAAAAGTTACATTTTATATTTGCAGTTGTTACCAGCTCTGTACACTGCACTTTCATACAGATTAATGATTTTACTCTTCACGGCACCCAGGGAGGAGTAACTAGTGTTATTATTACTAACAGAAGCAATATAATCATTTGACAAGCGGCCACATTAGGGCATGGAAAAGAAAAGATACTACTTCCTTGACACCTAGTTATAGGCAGAGCTGGTTTTGTGATCTACGTAATATCAGACAATACGGCAGGATCACTTTTGTATAGCAATAAAATTCTTTGCAAATCCTGTATATTATTTAGTACTAATTCTTGTGGTAAT